ACTTTTTTAGAGAAGATACCGAGGCCCAGAGAAATTTTCTGTTTTTTATCACATGATGTGTGGGCAGACTGAACTTATGAAAAAAAGGGGACTCCAACTGTTAATACTTTTTTTTTCTATAATTGTATTTTTTATAAACATATATATATATATATTTTTTTTCCCCCCAGGGGTACAGGTCTGTGAATCTCCACGTTTACAAACTTCACAGCACTCACCATAGCACATACCCTACCCAATGTCCATAACCCCCCCCAACCCCCCTCTGCCCAGCAACCCTCAGTTTGTTTTGTGAGATTAAGAGTCACTTATGGTTTATATCCCTCCCAATCCCATCTTGTTTCATTTACTCTTCTCCTACCACTGTTAATACTTTTTATGTGAACATAGCTACATGAGCTGATATAAAATCCCACCAAGATTTTATAAACTGTAGGGGGAAAATACCTCCAAGATACTAATCTGTATTTAAGGTTAATTATGATTCTTTCCCTATCTCGATTTTTTTTATAAATCTGCATTAATTCTTAAAATTAAAATACCTTACATATTTATTTTAGTTTATATTTTTCAAGAGGACTTATATATATCAATTTGGTTCTCTCAAACCTGTAAGGTAGCTACATGCTATGGTCCCATTTTCAAAGACAAGAAAAAGAAGTAGAGAATCTTGGTGATTTGCTCAAGGTCATTTATAATAAGTGGCAATTAGGCTTCTGTTGCTAGATTCTTTATGCTCTATCTCAGTGTTTTTTCAAAATTTGAGTGTTATGTTCACTGACCCCATAAAAAGAAATCAAGCCCCAAAAATGCTAACAATAATTTCCTTTTCCTAAATAGGAAATATTTTATCACATAAACTTTCATTTACTATCATCACAATAGAATAATAAATTCCAAAATAAAGGAAGCTGGCACCACACTGAAGATAGAGAAACAAACAAAAGACGGAGAACTTACAGGGAAAGCCTGATGTGAGGCATTCAGAGATAAACAGTCCTAAACTGTAAGTAGTACCATAAAAACAAAATGTACAGTCAGAATTTTAATCCAAGCCTTTCAAAATTTTCCTTAGAAAAATGTAATATACCTTTTTTCAATAATGCAAAAAGTAGATCTTTTAAGTGTAAGTGTCCATTATGTATTAAAAGCAAAAAAAATAAAAAGGAAGAAGTCATGATTTAAAAGGGACCGAAAGCTGCTGTTTGTACCAAGCACCATGAATCAACCCTAACCTGACCTTCACATGGAATATTTAATATCTAGCAGAGGACTCAGGCTTTGAACATCAAAATCTCATTTCAGATTACTGATCTGTGAAATTCTAGGAGACATTAGAAAATCCCATGAAAGATAACAAATAACCAAAAGGAAATATCAGCAAACAAACCAACAGTGTATTTAATGGAGCGTAAGAAACCGTTTTTAAATGTTCTGGCTGATCTATGGAACTTTAGGTCTCAGATTTTCTAAGAAAGCATTGAAAGTCTAGTACAATATTATATATTCTACCATAGAAAACTAGCAGATGATTTAAGGTAACTAGAATATGTAAACATATATCTATATACATATAAACAAATATTTTAATATATTTTCTTAAGGAGATACAATAATGTTCAGCCACATTTTAAATAAAATAATCTTTGAGTTTCAAGGACCATCAGTAGAGGAAAAAAACATTACGCTAGGATAATTATCATGAACTAAAACCATACCTTCAGTTACAGGAAAAGTAATTAAATTACTGTTCTCATGCAAGTCCCCTCCCTACTCTCTAGTAAATTCACAAGGCTCACTACATAACTGAGAGGTAATTCAATTTATAATGACATCTTTATAGAATGATTAAGTCACTTTTTGACCTACATAAGCCAAGGAGAATGTTGCCTTGTCAGAGTCAGCATTAACATTGAAGAAAACTGAGTAAGAATAATTTGAATCAGCCACGGTAAGGAAGAAAAACCCTTCTCTCTGGTCCCATTCATTGCCTATTGTTGGGTTTATTGTCATCTTAAATATAGTACTGATTTTTAGAAATTGTGTTATTGCTTTATCTATGTGAAACTCAATGGCACATTTGAATACCTCTCTCACAAAGTTATATTGCTAAAAGAGCCCGAAGAGATTTTTTTTTTTTTTTTGGTATGTGCTGGTATTTCAGAAGTTTTAGGAGAAAGTAATCCTATCCAGCAAAATATTAGATATAAGGCTCACTGAGAATTTCTTTCCACTCTTTTGCCCCACGAAAACCACTGAGATCAAAATCTCTTGTTTTCTAGGCCACAGTCTTTTACCATCACGTCTCATCATGCTTCCATGAACCCGCACAGTGTGTGTCCAAATAGTGGAATCCACAGGGAACTGGGCCTGGGGGATGTAGGGGCCACAGAGAAAGGTGAGCTTTCTAGAATGGGAGAAGAGAAAGGCCGGGAGATGAAATGAGCAGGTCAAGGCTGGAGACTGTGTTCACAGAGAAGACCTACCTGCTCATTTGGAGACGAGAGTAAAAGAACAGAATTTAACACTTACATGTGGCCTCAGTTACAAAAAGGCGCATTTAGCTCCAGCATTTGTAGGGGGTGTGTGTAGATGGAAGAGTCCGATGAGTTCCTCTGACTCTGACAGCGTGCTTTACAGTCTGTTCCCTTCAAGGTGTTTCCCCAAAAAATTGAGGTACAATTTTTGTTTCTCAAAAAAATTGAGGTGCCAAAAAATTGAGGTACAGTTCTGTAGACAGCAGAACTATGTTTAAACTGTGATAGGAAACTAGTGGATATGATCGACCTGCTGTAAGCTTAGTTGACCAATACCATGTCTTACTTTTCTTTTTCAATTTAACACTTCGGGGACATGCCTTTGGTTTGTTGGGGTCCACAGCCGTCCCTGTTGTCTTATACTTAGTCCTCTTCCAAAGGGCTTGAAGGCACGGGAATTTTCAATCCTGTTTCTAGAGCACTGGATGAGAAGCCTAGTTCAGAGGGAATTAACACCAGGAACACCATGATTCCTGGAAAACCATTTAACCTTTTGATGTGTGTGTGTGTGTGTGTGTGTGTGTGTGTGTGTGTTTATAAACACCTTTGGATGTTTTATCCCTAGAAAGAGACAATAGCATGAATGAACAAGGAGTGAAATTTTTGGCTGAATCCATGAATTCAGCAAATTCATAGAGACTAGAATGTACACATTTAATATACACACTTAACATTTTGAACTACTCATTGAGTTCTTACAGAATATAAAGAAAAATATTTTCGTTCTTAAAGTTCCTTTCCTCTAAATCAAAACACTTCATCATTTAGCCAATTTTTAAAGCTACGTTATCACATTTGCAGCTGCATTTCCTCATTTTACATTAGAGCAACGTTTCTGGGTGACGCAAACACATGCTCCGCCCCAGACTTGCTATTCCTTCCCGAGTCTATCTGGTCGCCGAAGAGGTTCACTCCACTAAATGTAAAATTCTCCAAACCTCGTTTTCTAACGTCCCCTTCCAACCAGAGCTCGGAAACGGGAGACTTCAAGGCTCATGGCAGAAAGCGCGCAGTCAACACGAGAGGGTGAAAAATAGCCCAGACCCTTCTCCCCCCCATGCCTCCTCATGTATTATTAAAGTCCGCAAAGCTTCCCGGATTGCTGAACAAAGCTGACCATCCTCCACCCACGAATGCAATCCGCAGGCTGCTGAACGTTCACCAATGCTCTGTGTTGCCTGCACATGGCAGATATAATTGGCAAACTGAATGGAGAATTTCCTATTCTTATTAGGCAGTATTCCAGATAGAAGATAAGCATAGCCCGAGGAGCTGAGCGGGCATGTAAAAAGGGCTCTGCTTTTCATATAACACTTATTATGAAGATGCAAATTTCCTCTCCACTAGAAATGATGTTTGCGGCTGCTTAGCAGACATTCCTGTAGCCTCTAGCAATTTGTCCTCAGTGTCTTAGTTTTCAATACTTTCCAACTCCATTTTGAGACAATACAATAGGGTCTTTGCAGAATTCTCCCTAAGCATATATTTAACAAATATGCATAAATCATAGCCTTGTGTTGCATTATTAGTATGTATGTGTGTATATTCAAAATACCATATCCAAGGATTTGTCCTACTGAATCTTCATTTGACTAACACCTAGGTTAGAGAAAATGAATAGAATCATTGCATCAGACCCACATTTTCATCAGGTAATATGACACAAAAAGAAACACTAAATATCTATGCATCATTTTAGCTAGCCAACTGGTACATAACCATTGTTTAAAAGGCATTTGGTGGGGGGGGATGCCTGGGTGGCTCAATGGTTAAGCCTCTGCTTTCAGCTCTGGTCGTGATCTCAGGGTCCTGGGATCGAGTCCCATATCGGGCTCTCTGCTCAGCCGGGAGTCTGCTTCCCCCTCCCCCCTCCTGCATCTCTGCCTACTTGTGATCTGTCAAATAAATAAATAAAATCTTTAAAAAATAATAAAAAAATAAAAGGCATTTGGCTTTTACATGTTTTACTTTGTAATTTTGTCCTCAACAGTATATTTCATTTATTAAATGAGGCCTATCTGCTATGCATATATGCTCTAAAAAAAAAAAATCACAAAGCTTTTACAAGAAAAACAAGATACCTGTTAGATGAGATACTTTCACTCTCCAAGTTTCTTCCCTCAGTGTTAGCTGATACTGATTTTCCTTCTAGAAATGGTCAATGAGTATGAAGAAAAATAAAGCACATAATTGTAGGAGACACTGCTGATACCTTCATTGTTTCACTGTTTTACTGTAACAACTCGGAACCCTTAATAATCAAGCTGACAACTAGGTTTACTATTTCTATTGAATCGCTAAATTTTAGTTTATTATTAGATTAAAAGAGAACGTACACATAAGAGCACGGTAGCTATAGACATGAACTCACGGCTCATTGGGACCACAGTATGTGTTGTGTGACAACTTTGCAGAACTCTGTTAAGTCTGCAGATAACATTCGGTTCTAAAGGGTAACTTTGTCATCCTGGACATCAGAGCCAGGGAAGAGACGCCTAGCTTGCTACTTAGCATACCAGGTTTCTTCTTGAGTCCTGCAATCTCGCTCTCTCCCTCTCCCTTTCTTCCCTTTGTCTCCCTACCTCTCTCCATCTACGTGTCTGTGTTCCCTTTTGGTCTCCCCAAGCAGGTTCCTTTCTCATCTCAGTGTCCCTATAGCCACAGGTAGACCTTTCCTCTCTCCTTTGTCTCCTATGTCCCTCAACAGATCTTTTTTCTCACCCCCATGCAGCTCTCTGACCACCTTTATCTCCTGTTCTCTTTTCTGTCCTTCACTGTCCGTCTCCATCTCACATCCTCTGCTCACCTGTCTGTCCGGTTTCTCTCTCCTCGCCCTCACTGCTTGCCTCTCTCTTTTCAACTGAATACCCACTTGCTGGGCACATCCTTACCCTCCCCTTCACTGGCCCCACTGCTGCTTCCATTTCAAGCTTTAGCACAAATGCTACTTGTCAGAAAGCCATCTCCTTCAGCTAGATTAAATCCTGCTTACATATAATCCCATATTCTCCTCCACTCCACTTCTTCCTTTATAGCTCAACTACAAGTGGGTCCTAAAAATCCATATTTCAAATTTTTAGTGGGAAAAATACACAATTTCAAAACAGAAGAAAAAGTAATGTTGTGGAAAGTCTTCCCCGATCATCTCAGTTCCCAGGAGACCAATTTTCACACAATCCCTCCTACCACCGTCCTGAATACACATTACCATCATTCACAGTGACTCCTCAGTCTTTCTTTCCTTAGTCCCTCTGTCTTCATGCAAACAAAAATGAATTTATATTCTCTTTCTTTTTTTATTATACACAATATATTAGCAGCTGATATTTCTACCATGCGCTGTTTTTTAACTGAAAATATTCCGGATATTTCTCTATACAAGTAAATAGACAGCTTGGCCTTTTGTTTCTTTTCTTTTTTTTTAAGTAGGCAAAGAGGCAGGCAGAGAGAGAGGGGGATGCAGGCTCCCTGCTGAGCAGAGAGCCCGATGCGGGGCTCAATCCCAGGACCCTGAGTTCCTGACCCTAGCCAAAGCAGAGGCTTTAACCCACTGAGCCACCCAGGCGCCCCTGGCCATTTGTTTCTTAAAGCTATATTCTGTTCAGTTGTCTGCAGAGACATAAACTGATTAAATCAATACTGTTGATGGATCAATACCTGTGTCCTGATAAAATAATCTTACATATATATCAATTCACATCTGTATGAGTTTAGAACATATACCTAGAAGTGGAGCTGGTTGATTAAAAAGTTATGTGAATTTTTAAAAAAAAGGTTATGTGTATTTTTTTTAAAAGACAAATATTGAACAATTGCCTGTAATGGAGACTATAACAAATTTACCCTCCCATGAGCAACTCTCCCATGAGAGCTGCTGTTTTCCCCAGTTTTGTCAAGAATGTGTAATAAAACATTTTTTTTTGTTAGTTGAATGAAAAACTACATCATAGCACATTATGCCTGTAATATTCCATGCAACCTTCCCACATTAAAAAAAAAAAGATCTATTTATTTATTTTAGAGAGAGAGCACAAGAGAGAGAGCATGGCGGGGAGGGGCAGAGGGAGACGGACAGAGAATTTCAAGCAGACTCTGGACTGAGTGTGGAGCTCGACTCGGGGCTGGATCCAAGGACCCTGAGATCATGACCTGAGCCAAAACCAGGAGTCAGACGCCTTATCGACTGTGCCACCCACTCTTTTAACGTTCTTTCCATTGACTTCTAAAAACATGCTCAGTCTTTCCTGATTTAAAAAACAAAAAAAGGAAAAATATTTTTCTAACCTCATTTCTCCCTTCAATTATCACACTTCTCCTCATTTTCCATCATGACCTCACACCCAGGCATTCTGGAACCCATTTCAATCTGACTAGTACATTTATCACTTGACTGTTAACGCCCTTGTGAAAGTTATCAGTAACCTCCGAAGTTCCATTTTCTTTCCTTATCTTACTTGATTTTTCTGGAACATCTGACACTGACCATCATATTCTCCTTCCTAAAAACTTCTTGCCATTGGCTTTCGGGAAAAACTCTTTTCTGATTGTTCTAGAAATCCTAGTTGCTTTGCATCAATCTCTTTAACAGGCTTTTTATTGTCCCATTGACCTTTAAATATTAGTAGGCCTTAGGATTTATCATTTGTTCTCTTCTTCTTTAAAAAGTCCTCCTGACTCATCTTTTCATGCATTAATCTGGAAGCGTTAATGGCCCCAAATCTTCATCTCCAGCCCATCTTTGCCTCTGTTTACCCCTTACTCTGGGTGTTTGTTTAATAGAGAGGGGCAAGATATGGGAAATATTATGTCATGATTTTCAATTATGAAATTAGTAAGAAAAAATAGGGTGTATGAATGATTAATAGTAAGTATAACTCACTGAGGGCTTGGCATGCGGCAAGGTCTAAAGTATGCGTTTATACTAAGAGATAAGCTCTATCATAGATCCTCATCAAGCCTTCAGACGTTGAGGAATGAATGAGAAAACATGATTGAATGAATATTTAGTATCCTAAGGAATGATGACTTAAACTCTTTCAGAAAAAGGAAAAGCTGAAAATATACCATATATTGTAAAGGTCTAGTGTAGGATTTATTGCACAGGTTGGCTTGGAGAGCCACCTAGTGGTAAGAGAGTATGTGAGGAAAGGCAGAGCCTGCCAGGAGTCAACAGTCAAATCACAGGAGCCGTCTTCCCCCTTCCCCTGGACTGACCAGGGCCAACACAATCAGGATTTGACCAGACGTCACACAGGAGTCCTCTCTTCCACGGCTGCTGTCCCAGTGTGTTTGATTTTCCTTATACATTTTCAGATTAATATACTTACTTTCCTACAGGTTTCTTTAATTTACCAACCTGCCCATAGACACTCAGAATTGGGGAAAGAAATTCATGAAAGTGCGGTATGTAAACAAACAAACAAACAAACAAAACACCCCCCCCTGCCCCCCAAAACTGATGGTTGCACGTATCTAATCAGAAGGTTAGAGAGCGGGGTTCCTAATGGCACAGGCTGTGGCTACCAGCCTCCCTGTTTGCCTCCCTGCTTTCTGCTCTCCTACATATTCTCTGAGTTACTCCCACTCCCAAAAAAGGGGACTTCTCAGTATATGCCAGAAACAAATTCAGAATTGTCCATGAAACTACAGTGAGTCAGAAGACCCGAAGATGAATCCTTTTAACATTGAAGCACAGAAGGCTAATAACAAAAACCACCACCACCAACAAAAAAGCTTCTGCTACATGAAGCAAAGATAATTTTGAAAATCCCCTTATCTCACTGGTTCTCAACAGTATACATTTCTCATTCGTATTCATGCAGAAGGCGGCTGGGTAGTTGTGGCTTTCCTCTGTCCTGGAATGGAATGCTTCTTGATCCAGAACCTGGGCGGAAGGAACATCTCTGCTGTGAGGCCATGATTCTTGGGGCTGAGGGAAAAGATCAAGAGACCTCAGAGAAACTCTCAGTGGCTCCTAGAGCTTCTCAGAGGCAGCCCTGGTCTCTTTCCTTCATAGGTCATCAGACAAAGCATGTCACATGGCCAAGCCCCCACAGATGGAGATAGAAATAGACTCTCACTATGAGCAGTGGCATTCAGATGCAGAGGGAGAGTCAGTGTAACATAATTTAATATCCAAACCAGGTCAATGTTGAGTGAAAGTATTTTTCGATGAATTAGCTAGGACAATAGATAAAAACTGGGATTGTCTTGGCAAACTGGGATATATTATCACCTTCTTACAAGTGTCTTACAGGGAGAAAAGCAGCAGGATTGAGAATACTTGAGTTGATCACAAGCTTTGATGGAAAGATCTGGTTCATACAGGTGGAGGCATACACACATGCTGAGGGAAGGAAGGAAAAAGAGGCAGGAAGACTAGACTGGGCGCATCAGGAAGTTAGATATTAGCCTCAGGCTGTGAGATTGCTTCTGAAATACAGGTCAAAACAAAAGATAATGGACCAAGAGGAGTTCCATTGAAACGATATCCTGCTGGAAGTAATGGTAGGTAATGGTAAGAAAAAGGAGCATCTGAGGTGCCATTTCTCTCAGTAATTGAGCCACATACTTGGGGTCTCAGGGCATTAGTGGGAGTACCAAGGACAAGAAAAAATAGAGGAACTGGTTTTGTTAGGTGCAGCAATGGCAGATGATGAACATGTAAAAAAAAAATTCTTAAATTATATTTTCAAATGAAGGCATTTGCAGTCATATACAGATAGAAAAATTGAAGAATTAAGATGAATATAGAAAAAATCTCACAAATCTTATGAGTCTATGCTGTTTTTTGTTAGGAATTTAAAATATAATAAAGATTAATTACATGGATGATATATAATTGATATGGAGTGGAAGAGTGACTAAGAGCCATGTGAGGGAAAAATAAGTAGCAAACGAACTTCAAGTTAACAGATTTCTATTGCTAATGTTGGATTTTAATGAAGCTAATGTTTTTTAGCTGAGAAATAGTTTTAAAGTGCACCAACCTAAAAGCAATCCTGAGTCACTTAAAAAAAAAGTATTATTTGTGAGAGAACATTTTTTTTTGAGATTTTATTTATTTGGGAGAGAAAGAGAGAGAGGACAAGCAGGGGGGAGGGGTGAGGGAGAGGGAGAAGCAGGCTCCCCACTGAGCAGAGAGCCTGATTCAGAACTTAATCCCAGGAGCCTGGGATCATGACCTGAGCCAAAGGCAAATGCTTACTGACTAAAACCCAGGATCCTGAGAAAAAAATACTTTTGAATGAGATTTAAATCATTTTTTTAAATTCATTTAATGGATGGGGTAAAATCACTGGTTTAAAACGAGACTCTCAGCTATCAAGTGAAGTTCTCTAGGCCACAATTTACATTTATTAAACAGAAAATGTGTATCAGATATTCTCTAGATATTAGTGGTTGTCACAGAATGAAAAAAAACTGATTTTAATGCGATTGAACTTTTTTTTTTTTTTTTTTTCCGACCTTGCTCTAAGAGCAAGCCTATGTGAGTGAAGGCTGGGGCATCCTGGGAAGATATCAGCTCCTCTCCCCACAACTGCTCATTTGCTAATTGCAGTATTTAATTATACCAGTTTTTTAACCTTAAATGTGTCCCAGGAAAATAAGATTTAATTGTTTTCTGTCCCTTGCTTTTAACAAACATTAAGCAATTAAAGACAAGCACTTATATTGCCTTAAATATCTTCCTATTTATCCAGAAAATATTTTAAAATGTGTCCTTAGGGATTCCTATTTATGAAATGTTGGAAATTATTTCCCTGAAGTTGAGTACCTGTTAAATCATCGGTGTAATGAAAATTTGGTGTCTTAACCACAAGGTGGCAGAATAAACTAGGCGCTCTATGGGTCTTTTCCAAATGGCTCAAGTAACTTCAGACACCTCGTTTTACCAAATTAGGATGAAAGATGCTTAAATAACTGTACTACGTGCCTTTGTGAACCTAAGCACATGTGTAAGACAAAAGACTGTATGAGTAACAGAATTTGAAAGAAGTTAAAACGAATGAAAAATCTTTCGTATCCTTAGGATAAACCCCATTGAAAAGGTGTTTTTCTTTTTTTTTTCCTTTTTTAAAAAGATTTTATTTATTTATTTGGGAGAGAGTGTGAGTGCAGGAGAAAGCACGAGTGGGGGTAGGCAGAGGGAAAAGCAGACTCCACTGGGCAGGGAGCCTGATGCAGGGATCCATCCCAGGACCCTGGGATCATGACCTGAGCTGAAGGCAGAAGTTTAACCGACTGGGCCACCAAGGCGCTCCTTGAAAAGGTATTCTAAAGTTGCTTTCTAATGACATTTAAGTTGATTTCAAATAAGCAGTTTCTCTTAGCAGTTTTTCAAAGTGCTGTGACCCTATATAGTTGGCCTCCTGTATTATGAACCTGGAAGTTTGTTCTCTCCACTGTCTGTTCCAGGATCACAGAGGAAGTACGTGGGGAGACACCACTACAGAATATGTTACCATAAAACAGACTCATAACTGTAGAGAACAAACTGAGGACTGCTGGAGGGGAGGGGGGCAGGGGGATGGGTTAAATGGGTGATGGGGATTAAGGAGGGCACTTGTAATGAGCACTGGGTGTTGGATGTGAGTGATGAATCACTAAATTCTACTCCTAAATCATTATACTAGGTGTCAACTAACTGGAATTTAAATAAAAACTTGAAAATAAAAATGGTACCCTAAACATGTCTTGAACACCTCTGCCAGGAAAGAGGGGCACTTACTTTTCATCTTCTTCCCCAACACTATACTGTTTGTGGAAACATAAAACATAGTTACCTTTGAAAATGAATCCAAAGGAAGTAACGTTGTCATATTACGATATTAAAAGAAACTCTCATTTGTCATAACCTTCAATACAAATATGTGAAAACAATAACAATAAAACATTCAAGCCATCACCTATCATTGTGATATTTGCATTCATCTGAGGCAAGGGTACTCTGAAGAAATCGTAACTGAATAATTGTTTTGATATAATAAATGAGGATTTCTGTATTTTGAAACCTTGCTGGTAAATGTATTGCTAAAACGAAATCCAGCCTTCTTCAAATGGCATTCAAGAACCTTCATTATCTGTTGTTCCTTTGCTATAATATAGTTCTATTTATCCAAACTAGCCATGGTCTTTCACACCACTGCCTTTGCCAAGACTGTTCCTTCTTAGAATGTCCTCTCTTCCTCTGTTCTTGCAACTGGCCAAGTTGCCATTTCTCCTTCAAGAAATGACTCAAAGTTCTCTCTCTAAAATGTTTCCTGAATTCTGCCTTCAAAGCAGAAATACATAATCATTTCCTTTTCTGAAATCTTAGACTCACTGTTCCTGTTTTCATCATATTGATCATTTAATTTGACTGGATTTTGTACAGTTATATCTACCAAGGAGAGGAGCCTTATTTCATCGACTTTGATGTCTGATGCCTGCTGGGGAGATTTAAACAGAAGCAGCACTCGTAAGCCCTTGGTGAAGGAATGAAGGAGTCAAAAACACCCATAAATTTATGCAGTGCATAGGTTAATGTATCTTTACATTATTATTTCTATTTGAAGATGACATTTATATCCAAAGATGAGTATGCTCTTAAAGTTTATCTTTAGTTGATTTATTTTTACATTAAATTCAGAAAAACCTTTGAATTTTTAAATTATAGAGCACAAACCATAGGGCCATTATTCCTCAACTTTTTGTAGTCTCTGGGAAGTCACACATATAAAAGGATTCAACATATTAAAATTATATTTTAAATAACATATCTTTTGGAAACGATTGCTCCTAAATATAAAATGTCAATATTTCCTCAATATTTAAGTAAATAAACACTTATTAAATGCATAAAATGTTAAAGGTTCTATGTTAGGTGCATTTTACATCAAATAAATGACATTTTATACTTATCTCATGGACAGTAGACATGACCTAATTGTTTTAAAAAAAATATTTAAGTACTTAAAGCAGTCTCAGCTTGATATTGTGAGGGGTTTCATAAAAGGTTAGGTACTACATTTTATATATGTGTATATATATGTATATGTGTGTATATGTGTCTATATATATTTGTGTATATATCTCTCCAACTAAATTAGTACACACTGATAGAATGCTCAATCCTTTAGTAAAAACAAGTCACATTAACATTCATTCTAAGATTGAAAATATAGGACTTGCATTCTTCATGCAAAATACATCCAAGAGAAGAGATTCTACCAAGAGAATGGAAGAACATTGACTTTATACGATCAGAAAATCATTTAGGATTATTTCAGAATGATGGGGTAGACTCTACTGTCCCTAAAAACTATGACTCTCATAAGCTTCTGCTGTATTTGGGGATATGTGCTTTGATATTTTAATTTTAGGGGGGAAGTTTAACATTTTGACAAGGTAATTTATGCCATCAGTGGCATCGGTTTCTTGCTTGAAAAGAAATTTTGATGACAAGAGGAAAGATTCTCCTAAAGGCACATAATGGGAAAGGAGATTATGCACAAATATAAAGAACTTTGGTCAGAGTAGGCTCAAATATTCTCACTTCTTCTCCTCCATTTGGGGTGTGTGTGTGTGTGTGTGTGTGTGTGTGTGTGTATCAGCCACTCTTTAGACTTTTTTTCTATAATAAATGAAAGTGTAATAATTAAATATAACCTACAAATTCTTTAAATAGAGTTTTAAAATTGCATGAGGTGAAGGAAAGGAGAAGTGAGTTGAGGGAAATCAGAGGGGGAGATGAACCATGACAGACTGTGGACTCTGAGAAACAAACTGAGGGTTTTGGAGGGAAGGGAGGTGGGGGAGTTGGGAGAGCCTGGTGGTGTGTACTAAGGAGGGCACTTATTGCATGGAGCACTGGGTGTGGTGCATAAACAATGAATTTTGGAATACTGAAAACATAAAATTAAATAAAAAAGAAAAACCCGTTAAGAGGGTAGATCTCATGTTAAACATTCTTACCAAATTAGAGTTTAAAAAGTAAAACAAAACAAAACAAAAATAAAATTGCATTTGGGGGTACCTGGGTGGCACAGTCGGTTGAGCATAGGACTCTTGGTTTCCACTCAGTCTTGATTTCATGGTCATGCGATGGGGCCCTGTTTCAGGCTCCATGCCCAGTGCTTGAGACTCTCTCCTCCCTCTGTCCTTCTCCCACTGCTCTCCCTCCCTCTAATAAATAAAATTCCATTTATAAGGTATGCTTTATTTATAAAATTTAGTACTCTACATATATAAACATTTAAAGCAGTATAAATAAGGTTTTCTGTAATTTTTATAAGATTTTATTTACTTATTTATTTTATAGAAAGCGAACAAGGGCAAGCTAGGGGAGTGGCAGGCAGAGGGAGAGGGGGAAGCAGGCTCGATGAGGGGCTCCATCCCAGGACCCTGGGATCATGACCTAAGCTGAAGGCAGATGCTTAACAGACTGAGCCACCCAGGAGCCTCAGCTCTTCTGTAATTTTCAGTAAGTGACTGCGTGTATGCAGAAGGACAAAGAGTTGATAGTTCTTACTTGTCTCAGAATTAACACTATCCTAAAAACAAAATGTGACTAGTAGTATGTAGGTGTGTCTATGCTTTTTTGAAGGTGAATTATTTTCTGTGCCCAAATTGGAAAACATGACCGCTCAAGTAACAATTCCAAGAGTTTTCCAGTGTGTGTGTGTGTGTGTGTGTGTGTGTGTGTGTGTATAAGCTAAGAACAGTATTTGCCTAAACTGTTTAAAACTGAGAAAAAAGCAAAGAAGAAACTGGACCCACCTTAAGTATATTCTGTTGAATTGACCTATGCATGTTTGTTTGTATCTCCTAAGCCAGATTTGAGCAGTCTTCAAAAATGGGGAATATGTCTTATTCATTTTCTATCATAATGAATAGGCATAAAGGAGATATTTTTGGTTGAATTGACACAAAATTTGTTACTTAAATAATACAAAGGTATGAAGTTCTATTATTTCTCTGGTTATATATATGTATGACGCCATAGATTTTTCAGGCTAGTACCTAATAAGTATTTGAAAATCTGTCATATAAAATCTTTTTTAAAAAAAGATTTTTATTTATTTGAGGTAGACCATGAGCAGTGGGCAGAGGAAGAGGGGGAAGCAGGCTCCCTGCTGAACAGGGAGCCCGACACAGGGCTCAGTTCCAAGACCCTGGGATCATGACCTGAATTGAAAGCAGATGATTACCTGACTGAGCCACCTGGGTGCCCCTCGCATAAAAATTCTTAAGCATTGAACAGAACAGTGTATTTCTCTACCTTATGTTTTTTTATTTTTTACCAATAAAATCACAATTTCTTCAGTGAAAAAGGTCTCTTACTTGTCCTATATTTGTCATAAATGCATGTCAGTAGAACAAAAAATTGGAGAGAGCAACAGAAAATGTAGAAATGTTTTATTAAAATGTTCACTAGAAGGAGGTGGTGTTTAAACATTTTAAACCCCAATACATAAACCATAGTGAATGGTACTTACAGAAAATAGTCTAAATAATTAAAAAAATCTTAATTGCAGTGATTATTAAAGATACCATGAGTAATAAGAATTTCCGAATGCTATCAGGTCAACACAATATTTATACATTTAGATATGTATACTTGCTGAAAATTTCCTACTTGGGTAACTTTATTTTATGCACATGATTTATCAACAATTTTAACATTTTTAAAAATCAGTTTACCTTCGTAAGCATCAGAGATAATACTTTTACTGAAAAGTAAGGTTTTTTTGTGCTTAGTTTCTTTAGAACTTCCTGTCTGTTTCAAGGCTTTTATTCTCCTACTTAGTTTTTTCTCTTGAAGCATGTTACTACTAATAAATCGTTTCCAGATTTTTTGTATCATCTCAATGAATCAGACACAATTTAGGAAAGTACATGTACTAAAATTCAGTTCCCCTAGATAATTGCAAATGGCAGAAACATAAAAGGGTAGCTGGTTATATCCTCTAATTGGAAGAACTTAAGTGCAAAATGTTTTAAAGTATTCTGAATCTTATTGTTACCTTAAATTAGAAAAAAATCATGAAATATTTAAAATTAACATTAATGTTAGCAAATGTATTGTGGAAACAGCCAAACAGGAAGGGAAGTAAGTATTACTTAAGAGTTCCTATGCTATTGGGAAATAAGGCAAGAGAAAGTTCTACATGGGTTTAAAAAACTGGGTCTGTCACCAGTTTTGTGACCACCCGGGAGGTTCTTCATGCAGTAACTGACACTCAGCTACGTCAAGTGTTAGGTGCAATGATCCTTGTCTTGGAGGGAGGGTTGTTGGTTCAAAAAGAATGCAAGTAAAGTTCATAGCACAGTGCTTACCAAGTAGTTTTTTTTTTTTTTTTTTTTTAAGGAGTACCTCATATCATGTGGTTTCTATTACCGCCAAACATATATCATTTGATTTCCACAATAATTCTTTGAAGAAACAAAAGTTCAGAGGTGGTGGTTTATTTATATCTCATCACAGCTAGACGTAGACTGAACTCAATTGTTGGCGATACAGATCCCATGTCACTAACTCCTGCAATTCTCAAGAACTCAATTTTTGACTAACTTTTCACTGATCTAGTGACTTAAGCAGGTTTTGTTTTGTTTTACTTTTAAGGATTTCAATTAGTAAAGTAAGGGGGTTCAATTCAATAATCTTTTGCAATTATGATTCCAAAGAATTGGGATAAATCTAGAAGATAAAAACATATCCAGATGTTAAAAATGCATGAACCAACTTCTCTCCCCCATCATTGCATTCTAACTGGTTTTCTACATTAGGACAGACATTTCACCCTCTGGTAGTATGAACTGGGGTTTATCGCTGTTTCTACACAGTGAAATCAATTTTCTGCTAAATCCACAGGAGATTTCCATGCATAACTTATATGAAACCTAATGGTAATTATTTGAAAAAAAAATAAGCTTTATAGTTGCCTGGGAATATGTTCCAAAACCCATTTGAATAGTTATTGCATGATTTAATTTTACTCAAATCCATTCAAACAAGAAGCACATTTTTTTCCAGCAGAGATAAACTAAGGTCTACACAGCTCAATGTTTATTTCATCAGTTGATTTTTTAATTTAACATTTGGTTAACTTTTCAACAAATTTCGCAAAGTCTTAACCAAAAATTTAAAAGAACATTTTGCTTAAAGTACTGTGAAACCTGTTATGATAATCTGACTTAAAGTTGTTACCAGGATGACCCAAAATAATGTAGCTACTAACTAGTTTGCTAACATTACTGCTAAATCAAATTCTCCAAAAATTCTTAACATTAATGCTATTCATGAAACAATGAGACTTAACAACAGTATTTAACATGTCTATATACAGAAAAGGAAAATTCTTCCTTTCTTATACATTCAATTAATTCATCTACTTTTCAAGGAGATATCGATTATTTCAATGACAAAAAGAGAGAATTACAGTCTCTTTGAGATTATCAAGGTCCTTTTGGACAGCTAAAATCAGCAAAAGGATTAATGACATTTATAGAAACATTATCAACCCTCAAACTAAATGCTTCAAAAGCAGGACAATTGGATTTGCTCATTGCAGTAAAACACATACAAATTCCATTAAACAGCTAAATATTCCTATATAGTCAGAGATGACTAATAAGCTAACATGAGAGATTAAGTCATCTCTCCTGTTTTAAATCTGGCCTTTCATAAACTATGACAGAGCCCTTGTAAGTATATTGTGCCAGTTCAATGCAAATATCCATTTTCATTAAATCGCTTGTTCTAGTTCACAAATGCTAGCACTAGATGCAGTGGGTACAATAGGAAGGGGTCCACCTTGTCCTATGCCCTATGCCTTGGAAATACCCAGCCCCTGATTTACTAAACAAGGTCAGACTTACTACCAGAGAGCTCTGTCATAAAAGGGCTCAGTGTGGATGAATTTAGTGGTTTCCACCCAAATATCCTGCCCTATGTCAAAAGAAAACAAGGCAAACAAACAAAACAGAAGACTATTATATCCTAGATAAGTGGGTTAATGCTATTTGAGTTCTCCCATTCAATTGTGCTTGCTGCAAATTCTTTTGTCCAAAATAGACCCATGAGACCTATCATCCTGGAATAGGAGAGAATGGCTACTCTACCTCTCAACAAGATAATAATTCTAAAAATAGTCTTTGTTGGCTAACAGGCACATGAAAAAATGTTCATCATCATTAGCCATCAGGGAGATTCAAATCAAAACCAACTGAGATATCACCTTACACCAGTCAGAATGGCCAAAATTAACAAGACAGTAAACAACATGTGTTGGAGAGGATGTGGAGAAAGGGGAACCCTCTTACACTGTTGGTGGGAATGCAAGTTGGTGCAGCCACTTTGGAAAACAGTGTGGAGATTCCTTAAGAAATTAAAAATAGAGCTTCTCTATGACCCTGCAATTGCACTACAGGGTATTTACTCCAAAGATACAGATGTAGTGAAAAGAAGGGCCATCTGTACCCCAATGTTCATAGCAGCAATGGCCACAGTCACCATACTGAGGAAAGAACCAAGATGCCCTTCAATGGACGAATGGATAAAGAAGATATGGTCCATATATACTATGGAGTATTATGCCTCCATCAGAAAGGATGAATACCGAAATTTTGTATCAGCATGGACAGGACTGGAGGAGATTCTGCTGAGTGAAATGAGTCAAGTAGAGAGTCAAGTTATCATATGGTTTCACTTTCTTGTGGAGCATAAGGAGTAACACAGAGGACATTGGGAGATGGAGAGAAGTGAGTTGGGGGAACTTGGAGGGGGAGACAAACCATGAGAGACTGCGGACTCTGAGAAACAAACTGAGAGTTTTGGAGGGGAGCGGGGTGGGGATTTGGGCGAGCCTGGTGGTGGGTATTATGGAGGGCAGGTATTGCATGGAGCACTGGGTGTGGTGCATAAATAATGAATTTTGGAACACTGAAAAGAAATAAAATAAAATAAAATAAAATGGAAAAAAAAAGTCTTTGTGTTTTGGTGAGAGGACTTATTATATTTCTTTATCTTCTTCATCAGATTGGGAGATAATCCTGGAGAACTTAATTTAGAATAATCCAGCTAATGCAAAGAGAAGATATTTATTCACTCTTAGCTAGAGTCAAGAAGAAAGCAGAATGTAATATAGGGGATGCAAATGAAAATTTAACTTTTTGCTGACCCCATTTTTTTTTTTTTCAAGAGGGAAAATAGAGAGCAAGGTAAAATATCTCACATGTATCAAAATGTTTCTCATTTAGAAATGACACAAATGTGTAATACTCTGAAGGAGATATGGTTGTATGTTAAAAAGTTTTGGGACAGGTACTTCAAAGTAAGGCAAAGGGGAACCTTAATGGGAACTTTCCCAGGCTTCCTCAATCTCTTTTAACATAGGCAGTGAGTTGAAAATGTAGGGTTTTGCCTTGCATCCAACTGAATCACAACAGGAAGGCCAGCGGTTGGCTGGAAGGTGTGCAGACATACACACTTACAAGCAAATACATTAATGGGGTGCTCCTATATGTGGTTAGAAAATAAGTTATGTGTGAATGCTAAATCTCAACAATGAAACTGAAAAGATATTTTACTGTCCAAAACATAGCAATAGTTGTCTGGATATGAAGAATCAGATCTGCTTCTCAGTTTTTCGGTTGATGACAAGGTTGAAGATTAGATTATATGGGTCTTTCTATCACAACAGATGAATGTTTGTCCAATTATTTGTTTTACAGCAAGTTACTGAAACACCTAAAAAGGATTTTATCAATTATATTAAAATGACTGAATAGAAACAAATCAATTATGTAAAATTACAAAGCTCATTTCTTTACTATTTCATAACAAGAGATCTTATTGACCTGCTATCTCCTTTTCTTTTCTTTTTGCTTTGTTTTCAGTGATTTATTTTATGGAAAATACTTTCTGGATAATCCTGCC